AATCGATACCCATTTTATGCAAAAATATCAACTTTGAAATTTGACCTAATTTGACCTGACCTTGACCTGACCTTGACCTGACCTTGACCTAAGCTGGCCTTGAAGTCTGTCTGACCCACATAATCGCATTTGTCATGTAAAATGGACCATAAAACATGTATCACACGACACTTTCATATTGTGACCCCCCAGTGACCTGACCTCTGTGACCTGACCTGGTATCAGTGACCTCAAATAGCAAAATATGTGTTTGAAGAACATTTCCCCATCGATGATTTTCAATGAAATGCATTTTACACGATTTTACAACGCATTTCTTGAAATGCCTGTAAACGGTGAAAATTCGACCTTTGACCTGACCTGTGACGTCATCGGTTTGACCGAGGTCAATGAAATTGGGTCACAAGGTAGTTCCCCGTTGGGGCTATCCAACACCGTTTACCGCTTGTCGCTATGTTGCGTGGTTCTCGAGATCTGAGGGGGGGGGGGCAAAATGCCCCCCCCCCCATCAGACCGCGTTGCTCGGCAGACCCCATCTGGGCGCGGGTTAATTGTGAACATACATCATATCTATAAAATTATACACGCTACTTTAGGGGTCATTAATCCTTTACAACACAATACAACATAATACAACACGTTTCACAACAGCCATCAAACATGCATAAGAAAGTAAAACCGTTTTTGCAATGCTATTTACTACTCAACGATGTTTTCTTTTTGTATACGATTGTCGCGTTTTTGCCATCGATGTTTCACATTTGTTGGGGACATGTGTGACCAAAGTACCTACTTTAGATCGTCCAGTGTCCCACATAACAAATCGTTCTAAGAAAACGATCAGGCACCACCCATTCAAGGACTTTACTCTTCCTTTGCCCGCTTCCTGTTTCCTCGTGCAGTGCTGGACGGCGGCTGCGGCGGCGGCGGTTCCCGCGACCGTCAGCGCGCCGCCGCGCTGGTGCGCCGCATTGGTCACAGACACGCCGGCGCCGTACAGGTGCGCGGCCAGAGACGGCGGTGGCTGGGAGCGCAGGGCACGATTAGCATGCACTCCGCACCGCGACCGCCATTGGCTACACCCGGCCCGCGGCACAGCGCCTTTCACAACAGCAGCTGTCGGTGGCGGCTTCCTGCTGCCGCTGGCCAATTGTATGAGCAATGAAAATGGTCATGGAAACCACCGGCTGAAGTTTCAAGTCATTGGAATGGTCACTGAATGATTCTTACCATATGCGAAATTTGCTCTTCTGGTTCTGGGACATAAAAGTTTGATAGACAGCAAGCAGAAGACAGACTTTGCACCTTATCGTTCTGCCATGATTACACACCCATATCATGGTCAGAAACTTTCATATGCACTGTGCTCAAATACTCATAGAAATATGTTGATGGGGAATCGTTACTCCAATAAACATTATATTTGTTTCGCTCCACATAATCGGTCATAACTGGCCTTTTTCACGTGAATTTAATTCAGAAGCATAAAAAGTGGTACTGATACTTCTGGCAAAAACACAGATTCCTCGTCCATGCATGTATGGGTGTCATGACAGAGAAGAACATTTGATTTCAAGTAAAATTCTAAGTGTAATTATATATTACTTGAGCATAGAATATATTTACATTGAAAATGTTTTTTTTTTACCTTGAAATATATTTACCCTGACTAAGTTAAGGGACAGATGCTTAGATGGCCTATAAACATTCAAATTGCTCGAATACCACAACGTGTCGTCTTCTCACATCAAGTTTAAGCCCAACCACTTGTGCATCATAGGAATATCGGTATGAGAACATTGCAATTTGGGTTACAAAATAATTAGAATTCTAGAAATTGCACGCCACCGATGCTTAGCAAACGCCGCACCATAATAAGGGAGATGAGGAGAGCATCGAAAAGAAATATCGTTTGCCATACGCACTCAAAAGTCATAACCGCGGGTTTTTGATCACCATGTGCTTTGCTTTCGGTGTTCGAACACGAATGCAACCACTGCGATCACACTTAATGGAGGATATATTGTAAAATGTATTATACACCACTACTGCTCTCCGTTGGATGACAAGGTGTTACCAAAAACTGACATTTTTCTTTGGTTTGTAGGTCTAATTGCTGCCCCGTAACCATCCCGCAATTACTGTATGCCTGGCCTATTCAAATACATTAGCCTGAGGGGTGTGGTAATAACTGGTGTAAGCAAAGTGACCGTGACCACGGTCAAAAATGCATTACCAAGTCAACATTTTCGGATGGCCTCGTTCAAAAAACCGCTAAGAGCTTCGGTCTAGAGAATTGTTTTATCGTTGGCATACAGTAAAATACATACCAAACTCGGCCGGTGATAAATTGTCAAGACCTCAGTCCTTACTGATTTTTGAACTCGGCCTTCGGCCTCGTTCAAAAATTCAGTTAGGACCTCGGTCTTGAAAATTTATTTACACCGGCCTCGTTCAGTATTATATAACACCGCTATGTTTAATGCGAGGAAAACGCTGCTTTGTGTGAGCGGTTTTGTGGATACAAAGTTGCTTGTTCGACGTATTTACAATATCATTGATATTATTGGCCAAATTGTAAAGTTTTATTTCGTATCTCAATTTAGTTTTGTCCGAATCACAGGCTGCTTTCTGTATTGAAAGGAGGCCGTCTCGGTAAAATCGGCCGGTATCGCGAACCGTTGTTACCAATCGTCTGTCGAAGAATATCGGTGCATTCAGAAGGCTGTTTTGGAAAGCTGCGGGGGACAACGTTTACAAGTGGTTCCCTATCTGCAACATCTAAAAAATTATTCGGATTCCATGTACCGGCTTATGCGCTGATGAGCAGTCTAAAGCAAACCTGTTTAATTTCGCTTTGTAGGGGAGAGTGGGGTGGGTTGTATCAGTTTTTACTCCGAGACCCCTAACCTCGTAACTATCCGTGATAAACTCATTATTTCCATACTATCCCCTTCCTTGATTCTTCTGCTTTTTTGTGCAAAGTAACTTTTCCGCTACCTCTACCAGTTTTTCTTCTACAGTCTGCCGAATAGAACAATGTTTTTGATACAACTTGCCCCATGGCTTGGGTGAGTTGTATCACATGGTGGGGTAATTTGTATCACTATTTCACGTTTCAAGGAGTGTGCTTGCTACTGGTTTTGAGCATAACAACAACAATAAATGGGGTTAATACAATGTATAGGTATGCTCAAAGGCTTCACTTTATTAGACCAAACTTAGGTCAATGCAATCCGAACGAAACATCAACAGACTAGACGCAAAAGTGGCCCGTTAAGAGCAAAGAAGCCAACACATTGTGCCGAAATGGAACGAGCATTGACTAGCTACCTACAAACGCGAGCCAGGGCTTAGCTTTCGCGATCAAAAGCAACATACCCATACATACATACATACATACATGTTACAACATACCCCACCCGGCTCTGATACAACATGTACCTGGCCGCCATCTTGGAAAAACATCCTCGTGCTCAAAAACAGCGGACAGCTGGAGAAATCCGTTTTCACTCACGCAGCCTTAGAACCTACCCTCACCACCGCTACGGAGATCTTTCAAATTCGTGCACATCTAAATGCCCAAAACACACATTTTCTTGCAACTTATTTTTTTAGAATGACATTAAAAAAAACATAAAATCGGCTCTCACCTCGAGACGAGTCCACTCAGTCACAAGACGGAACAGGGAAAGATGGCGCCCGGAAAACCTCGTCGGCTGGTCGTGTCGCGAGCGCCATCCATTGGATAAGTTTGGCACAATTCGCCCTGATACAACTTGGACATGATACAACTCTCCCCGCTCTCCCCTATGCGAAGAAAACGACTAATGGGTGGCAATTTCGGACTTCACGGAGGAACAAATGCTCCAAGCGTTGGATTTGCCAGTCAGATATAGGTATTATCTAAGGCGATGTTCTAAATGGAAAATACCTTTTAGGGCCGGTCTGTGCTCGGTTGATTGACCTGATATTGCTTGGTTTATATATAAGAATGTTGAAGTCACGTCACTCAACTGCTCCCGTAATGTTCAAATAACCTTTTACATTCGCAAAGCTATTGCTGTTCGAAATATGTCCGCCGAAGAGTAAGGTTTACGAATATGTCAGGATGACAGCGTTGACCGATTGCCTCAGTTTATAATTTAGTTCATTTAAAAATGTGTGACGAAGATAAGAGGTAAGTTGAAAATTCGGACTCTAATTTCACAGCGTGTAATTAGCCCATTTGAAGCGAGAAGCAAACACACTTGTCATAGAGGCTGCATACCTATTGCTAGAGTAGGTATTCAAAAGATTGCATTTAGATAGAGCTAAGGCCAACATAACTGTCATAAAGTCTCAGACAATAAAGCTCCTCAAAATCTTTTGATGTAACGACAAGATGGCATTGACCCAGAGTCTTGGGTCATCAAATACTTTTCAGCACCCGGCAGTACCGAGGGTGGGTACAACTGTTCAACGTTCAACGCACCGCTACCAAAGCACAATCGCATCAGTGGTGTTGACATGCACCAGCAGAGCCTTTGTCGCCCATCCCGCCCTCTCACCCGGGCTGGTGCTCCTCCCTGGCCTGTGACCCACCGACGGGGACGGCGGGGCCGCGCGGGGCGGATCCATGGATCCCAGCACACGGACACAGCGGCCGCGGCAGCACAGGGGCGCGATCGGCCCGCGCATCAGGTCACACGGGGGCGCCGGTCACCGGCGGCGGGTCACACGGGGGCGCCGGTCACCGGCGGCGCCCGGCGGCAGGTCACACGGGGCGCCCGGCCGGGAGTCGCACCTCGCCCGCCGGCCCGGTCCCCTGTCACTGCCGGCGCCCGGCGGCGGGTCACGAACCGACCGGCCGTCCGTGCCTTCGTGACCGTTGGGTCGGGACGTGTCCGGCGCGGCGCGTGCCTGTCGCCGTGCGCCGCGGGCACATCTCGACGAGCGGCCGTGCGTGAGACACGCCCGGCTCGGCCGTGCCGTGAGCCCAGGTCAAACCGCCGACTTACCTCTTCAGCACGAATCCGCGTCGAGCCGCCGCTAATCTGGGCTGGTTTTAATTAGGCACTTCTGGCGCGCGGCGACTGCGGGCGATTGGCACGCGGCACGTGAGCACACAAAGCGACGAGCTCGGCCGAGGCTGGCCGCGCGCCCGCCGGCATAGCGGCTGGGGATTTGCGAGACCTCGGGGGCGGGGCCGCCGCCGACAGAGCGTCTCATTGGTCGGTGCCGGCCGAGGTGGGGCTAACCGCCGGCTGGCGACCAATGAGAGTCAGAGCTGGCGCGGAGACCGGCGGCGGACGGCCCAATGGAGTCGGTGCGGGACCGGCGGACCGACAGCATACCTGCGCCCTGGCCGGCCGACTTTACGAGCGGGGTCGGCGGGCTGACCTCCGCCGGCCGCCGGCGGCCTCCGTTATGACCCGGCTCCCTTCGCCGGGCCGCTGACTTTATGGCAGCACCGTGCACAAAGGGCTGAGCGGCCCGCCATTCCGGCGGCCCAGACTGCCCTGCACCCTCTCCACCCCTGACTTTATGAACACCTTTGTGAGCTACTGGTCTTTGTAGTTCGAGGTGTCAAGTGTTCGTTTCAGCTGCCGCTGCACGCTGCACAGCCCAGGCTATCGTTGTATGTGTGTACTTACCTACTGCGTAAATCAGGTTTGATTGTCTGGGGGACCATATGACCTTCCTAATTTTCCTGATATTTTACCTAGTTTATTTAACTTTTTTGTAGCCCTACGATTTGTTTTTCGCAAAACATTTGGGAAATCAAAATTTTCTAAAATATTAGAGCATAGAAGGATCGCAAGCCCTATGATATGTGGGTAGATCTCCAAGCAAAATCCATGGCTTTTCTCATTGTTCCCGAATACGGCGTTTCTGGTAAAGCTAAACATTAGATTCGCCATTATTCGCCGTTTTGAATTTCACCCGAGCAGCCGACGCCTTCCCCATCAACTTGCATGCATATGTGCATACTATGACAAAGAAATTCGCCTTCACGCATCGTGGTGAAGTTGCGCTGGTGGAAGCCTGTGTGGCTCTCCTGCAGGCCTCAGCGGTTACAAAGAAAGGGAAGCAATAACACTAGTGATGTCACTCTCAGAAAATCAGGAACGGAGGGTATGAGCGTCTATGTCCTACGAGATACTGCTGAAAAGTGAAATGCTGGCAGCATTTAGGCGATCTGCAAGTACCGGAGAACCTTCGGCAAGTACTTGATCACCATATCTAATTTGCAGAAATGGGACTACCTTCACTGCCAGTGCCTCCGTGGTGTCATAAGGTCCCGAAGCGCAATTCCACCCGCCGCGTCGCTCAAGCGATGCATTCGGTGAAGAGTATTTGCGGCCGTTCTTCCAGTGATTTACTCACGGTGTCTGCAGTTCAGCATCGGTGTTCATTGCCCTTTGACAATTCTCTCCTCTCCTTATAAGCGTTTTTATGCAAGAATTGGATTCGAATGTTTTGATTAACCCGCGCACCGACGGGGGTCTGCGCCAACTTAGTACCGACGGGGGGGGGGGCGGATGACCGCCCCCCCCTGAGATCTCGAGAACGAAGCAAGATAGCGACAAGCGGTAAACGGCATCGGATACGCACGGTCAAGATCTACAATTTTTACTAAGGGCATTTTCAGGTCAGGTCAAAGATGACGTCACAGGGGTCGAAAAAGTCAAAATGGCGGCGCTAAATATGGAGAGAGTTTTTCTCGAATAACTTTCGAATTAGTCAAGATAGGAACAAACTAAGGGCATCATCGTGATCCTCTCGTCAATCCGCATCGAATGATATATATGTTGACCTCGAAAGGTCAAGGTCAAAGGTTGACCTCAGGTCACGTGACCTCGAGGTCATCATGTATATCATTCGATGCGTCTTGACGAGCTGAACACAATGAGACCATCCACGCGTCTGTATCTTGTTCCTGTACGGAGTTATTGGCCAAAAACCTTTGGTGACCTTTGATGACGTCACATGACCTCACAGCTGCCCAACAGCAAAACAGACCTCAAGGTAGTGAAGGTTGATCGTATATGAAGTCATGTATGGTATATGGGGCCATTCCGACCCGTTTTAGTGGTAAAAACAGGGAGTTGATTTTTCCCCCATTGACTTATAATGGGGAGGTCGCGAAATTGACCTGACCTTAGGTCACCGATATCAAAATTCCGAGATATACAAATTGTAGCTACTAATGACCTAATAACATCCTGAGACTTTCAAAGGCCTCCGACATCTACTGTAGCTCTGGCACGGTGACAAAGTTGCAAAAAAGTGACTTGAGGTTGGGTCATTCAAAGTGACCTGGTGACCTGACCTTGAAAGTTAGGAGGTTCAAACTTGCACACCATGTGTAAAATTGATAAGGGAATAGTCATACCAAATTTCGCGGCGCTACGCGCCGCGGTTTTTCCGCTATTCGCGAAAAACCTCAGGGGGGGGGGGCGGATATCCGCCTCCCCCCGTCGGTGCGCGGGTTAAAGGTATTGAGACGACTGAGCCCTGTTGTTTCAGAGTTATTTTTCCAGTTTGGCATCCCGGCTAGCCGTCAGCTGGAGTGCGAGGCTCCTTTTCTTCTAAGGTATGTGCATTGTGCATGGATAACTAACAGTAATCCATGGTATGTGTATGATATATATAATTATGATTGGGTCTTCCCGGCAGACCCATGCATAATTTTATTTCTTACACACTATTAGTTGCTATAAATTCTTTAATTCTTTATTTCTATAAACTCAAAAACGGGTGACCTTGTTCCGGTCGGCAAAGATCAAGTGATCTTTTCCCGGGAGGGGAAGATCAACTGTTCTTGCCACGAATGGTTAATATATATTTATCCTCGTATGTTTGGCATCCCGGCTAGCAAAAAATTACCAGCATTCGTGCCATCTTTGGTCCCTCGTGAAAAGATTACCACACTCGTGCTGATAATTTTTCATCTTCCCGGCAGACCCATGCATTTTCCACTCGAAGCGATGGAAAATCTTCTTTATATTTAATTGTTGCTGAAATTTATTCTTGCTGCATGATTGCAATCAAGGCCATGGTTGCAATTCACGTTGAGCGCTCAAACCTACTATGAGAACACTCAAAACGGTGAAAACGATGCACGATGACGGGACGCATCGCTTTACTCTCACGTCGTAGGCAACGTTGGCTTAGTAGCATTGATTTTTGGCAAAAGTTTTTTTTATTTCGATGTCAATGTAGATGAGTTGTGAGAATACGCTTTCCGGAGCGCATCCATGACAGGCCAAGTGGTATAGGTGTTACCAGGCAACAGTCACTGGTCATTTGCTCGCGGTTTAGATAATAGGTTGATGTGGGTTCTGACGGGAGTTTTTTCAGGTTCGATATGAAGGGATTGAATATAAATCGAACCGCGAGCGTTTGCCCTGAATATAGTCCCATTTTCTACATAAGAATCTCGCCGAGGTAAAATCCTCATCAACAGAAGGTCGGGTATGATTTTGACTTTACGAGAATATCGTCAGACACGTGATTAAAATCGTGCTCCCGTCTGTAACCGACCAGAACAGAGGCTGGCGGAGCGCGAGAGCTGCGCTGCTCGAATGTGGCGCTGGCACCGACCTCAAGACCGTAGCGGAAGCGGTGGCATCGGTATCAGGGCGGGTCCAGGGAGGGCTTTGGGGACTAAGGCCTCTAGCTTAACATATATGCCGCCCTACGGAGCGACAAATCAAGGCGCCAAAACACTACAAACATCGCCGCTAACTAAAAGCAATATCCGAGCAATGGGCTAGATAGAAAGTTGTCCTCGATTGTCGCTACTTGCGGCCCAGTACAATCGTACATTTGGCCGCCCCTGGCAAATGAAAAACACGCCGCCCCCATGCAATTGGCCCCAAGACGAAGAAAACCCCGAGCCCGCCCTTGATCGTCATTCAGTATCCATGAATTTCATTTTTACTTTTGCGAGATGTTGCCTGTCCATTTGTCCAAGTTTCTTGCCAGCACCGACGAAAATGTTTCCCGACTGCGCATTGATCATCGCCTGCAATCTGCATTACCCAGAGGAACTTACGCATCTGTGGGAGTGGCGTTGCTTCAGATTATGCGAGGGTGATCGACATTACATCTGTGCCACGCCGCGCGGGTGCCACTGGGTATGCAGGTGTTCCCTTGCAGTAGACCAGTATCCGCGGTCAGTGAGCGGCTGATGAACACTCAAAGTGTCCCAAGCTGTGCGCGAAGAACTTGCTACGCCTATCTACCTCCGCCACTCTATCACTGCAGCCAGGCATTTCATGCACATTTTATCTGCGACAAGTGCAATGTATTGCATGTTTTATTCTATGGATTCATCAGAACTTGAGTGTCAGCCCTCTAATGATAAACTAAAATGAACCAGGCTAAGTCGGAATGGCTCCGAGCTGGACCCTGACCAGCAGCGAGCCCTCAGTCGCTGCTCTCACTAAAGCCGAGCGGGAACGGGCTCATCTATTTTTGTCGGCTCCAACTCCTGCCGGCTTGAGGCGACTGTTGAGAGTGGCAGCCTAACTTTGATATTTTACCCAGACAGACCACCCCACATTTGTCCTGCAGTGCCGCCTGTGATTTGCATAATGACTGTCTGGCACGTGCGTTTGCATCAGCACCACTATTTACCGCGACTCGAGTATTCCGTGTTCCGGGCCGGAATTTTGACAGATGAGACCGCTCTCCAAGACAGGACTGGCGAACTGCGTCGCTGCTAAGGGCGGTCGGTGAGCGACCGCCTGTCTCCGAGAGCCGCGTCACAGACCGACCGAGAGACACAGCTGCAGCCAGAGCCCGAGGGGTGGCGATGACAGCCACTATAACCCTGGGCGCGCACACCCGAACAACGTCCTCATGGGTGATGATTTCGCTCAGCCAGAGACAGTTATCCAAAGCGCGTGCTGCGAATGTCAACACTGGATTCCAGGATAATCATTGAAATACCCGCCATTGAAATTTTAACCCGCGAGTTGCTGGGGGGGGGGCGTTAAACGCCCCCACTTTTTTCGCCGGGCCATAGCATAAAAATGGCGCGCCGCAGGCGCGCCAAATTTTGGGTACCTGTAGGGAATTGATTGAGGTTTATTGTGACAAAGTTTCAAAAAAATCGGTCGGAAAGTTTTTGAGATATCGA